AATGTTAGCTATTATTACTCATCACCCACTATGTGCCAGGCACTGTGCTAATCACTGAGGATACAAAGAAGGGCAAAAGATAGACCCTGCCCTCAAGGAGCTCACAGGCCAATGGGGGAGACAACATGCAAACAAATATGTAGAAGGCAAGGCATAGACAGGATAAACAATAATTAACAGAATTAAGAGGAGTGGGGAAAGGCTTCCAGTACAAGATGGGATTTTAGTTGGGACTTAAAGGAAGTCAGTAGGCGGAGTTGGAGAGGGAGAACATTCCAGGCCTGGGGACATCCCAGGTCAGTGGGCTGGTGAATGGGCCAGTGTCCCCACCCACTTGGAAACCTCATCCACCAAAGGCTTTTTTTTTTTTTTGCTGGGCTGGCTTTAAATCCTATTTGGCCCTCGGTGTGTCTGTGATTTCATTTTGTTCTTCTGGGAGTTCTGTGAAACAGAGAAGGTAGATGTTATGATCCCTTTTTTCCTTTCTTTCTTTCTTTCTTTCTTACTTTCTTTCTTAATGAGGAAACAGCAGCTACAAAGTGAATTTCACAAGATCACATGAGTTAATGTTATATCCAGGCAAAGAATCCAGGCCACTTGATTCCTTGACCTGAGTTTCTCCGTTGGGCCACCCAGCCTCTCTGATAACAAAGGTCATGTCTTATGGAAGTTATTTCTCCAGAGGACTCCGAAAATGGGTTCCTTCCACATCCTTTGAGTGAGGAAGGTGAAAAGTTTGGTTTCCTTGTTAAAGGAGATCTTCCTGATTTTTCCTTTGGCCACGACACACAGCCCTAGTCCCTTTTCCAGATTCATTTCCAACATTCAGCAAACATTTAAGTGTCAGTCATGAGATCCTACGGAGAGTCCAGAAAGAAAAGTAGAAAACAGGGACAGGAATACCAACCTGAAGGGATCTGTTAACAAGTGACGGATTTCCTTCTGTTGCCTGAAGACAAAGCTGTAGCTGTCCCCCTTTCCAGGCTGACCCTTCCTCATTCCTTCGGGCATCTCCAAAGGCAAACGTTTCAAGCCTTGTACCATCCAGGTGGTTACCATCCCCTGGAGGTGTTCCATTTGGCTGATAGCTTTCTTTTTTGGTCTTATTTTTATTGATATCTTTGGTTTTTAATCACTTTCACTTCCAAATATATCTCTCCCCCTCCCCAGTGAGCCATCCCTTGTAGCAAAGACTTTTTAAAAAGAGAGAAAGAAGGTGTTCAACAAACTTGACCAACACAGCAGCTGGGTCTGACAACAGCGCGTGCAGTATTTCTCACCCATGGTCCCCTACCTCTGCAGTTAGGGAGAGGAGGGCATTTCTGAGCCTTTCTCCACGGCCACCCTTGGTCGTTCGAATTACTCAGCATTCTGTTTTGGACTGTTGTACTTTACATCAGGGAGGAGTTTTTTAGGTGCGCTACTCATTGTGCATTGTTTTCTTGGTTCTGCTGCCTTTACTTTGTATCAGTTCATGCGGGTCTTAACGCGCTTCCCTGAATTCTTCACGTTCCTCATTTCTTACAGTACAGAAGTATATTGCATCAGTCAGTGTCATTCTTATGACTTGGTACCTAGAACTGTGTTCCATTCTTTAAAACAAATTATTACTCGCTTTTGTTGTTACCGCACAGACAGACCTGAAGACATGCCCTCCTCTCCCCAACCCCTTGCTTTCTTCCCAACCCCAAGCCTTCTCTGGTAGCAGAAAAACAGTGCACCAAAGCCAGCCCTCACAGCGACTGCCCGTGACATTGGGTCTACAGCCCTTGAGATTTGATCTGAGCAGCGTGGGGGACAGCCAGCCTGCTCCTTCCCATCTGCTCGTCCCTAACCTGGGTTTAATGCAGTGGCATGTTCAGATCGCCAGCCTGTGGGGGCAGAGTTACTAATTCATCCTCTGTGGGCTAGACTACGCTCTGTCCCTCAGTCTGCTGTGATTGCCAGGGCACACGGCGTCCTGCCAAGGTGGGGAGCAGGAGTAGAGGGGAGCCCAGAGCAGGTTGTAGGCTCCAGGAGGGCAGGGGCTCCATAGCACCAACACCTCCCACTGTGTCCTGCACAGGGCGGAATGATGGTTGTCAGACCCAGTGCTTGTGCCGCCATGATCATGTCTCTCACGGCGTCTTCTCTCCTAGATTTTCCTTTCCAGGGCTCTGCTCTTCATTGGGAGGGAATCCCAGAAGAAGAAGAAGAAAGGCCTCTGACAGCTGGATCCCAGGTGAGTCAGGGTTTCTTCCCTGTCCCCAGGTGGTGGCCACATGTCTGTCCACTCTCCCGAATGAAGCCTCTCTTCCCAGCCAGATTCAGGACCCTGAGCCCCTGGTAGATGGCAGGCTCCATGGGGAGGTCTCCTCGTTTGCCTCATGTCCTTCCTCATGCCCTTTCTCTTCTTTCTGCCCATTCATCCTTCACTCGTTCATCCTGCAGATACTTCCATGACCACTGTCTGTGCGCCATTCCTGCTCTCAGGGAGCAGGATTCTCATTGAAGAGGCAGGAAGGCAGGCAGGATCCCCTCAGATAATGACCAGGGGCTTGTGGATAAGTGCCAAGGTGATCACGTGAATGAAGGGTGTGGCTGAGAAGCAGGAGGCTTGTGTTGGGGGCCAGTGAAGAGAAGGTGGAATCCAGAACCAGACCAGTCTGGAGAGATCTCAGAAGGCTGGACATTGTCCTTGAGGCATGGAGGGTCCTCTGAAGGTTTTTAAACTCCGTGAAAGCAGGATCTTAGGAGGAGCTGGTGACTGAGAGAGTGTGCTGCTGGATTACTCGAACCCTTGACAGCCAAGCAGATGTTGCAATGGTGTAGTGGAAGGCAGATTATCCCACCTGGGGCTCAGTTTCATGGCTAGTTCTTTACTCTGGTTGTAATTCCCTCTTATTGACCTTTGTTCTGCCCTTCAGAGCTACAGAGAAGTGGGCCTCTTCTGTTCTGTCATCATGCCTAGTGTAGGCCATTGGGGAAAGAGGACGAGGTCAGTTCTGGACAGGGAACGTGGGCCTGGAACATGAGGGAGAGGTCCCAAGCTCAGAGTGAAGCGGCCAGAACCAGAGAGGTGTGTTTGCCAGCCTTCTATGAGGCTGTGTGAACTTCCTAGGGGTAGACGCTACCCTAGGAGGAAGCCTCCTTTGGGGAGGCAAGAGGTGCCCATGAGGAGAACCAGAGCAGACCTGTGTCCCACACACCTAGGAAGAGAGCATTCCAAGAGGCATTATTTGGTGCCCTTTAGGGTGGAGGGGGAACAGAGACTAATAAAATTAGTCCTTTAATTTGACCACAACAAGTGGGTTAGTAGGGACTGGGTGCCAGGGCATAGTCTCACTGAAAGAGTCTTAGAGAAAGGGAGAGAAAACATTTCTATTTAAAGTGGGGAGAGGGCTGTCACCACAGTGAGCTTCCTTATCAAACATAGGAGAAGGGGCTCCTGATGGTCTATCTTCTAGGCCTAAAAGACTTTGACAAAACCCCCCCCAAGAGCGACATCACAAAGTTTCCCACTGCCAACATCTCCCTGATGGTCCAGGGATTACCAAATCATTCTTTGGGACAGGAGCCTCATGGGACTTCTCCCCTTGGAACTCTCAGCACATCCAATATCATTCTGTCTGGGAGATCACATCAGATTTGGGAAAAAGAGACTATTCATGGGGAAAGGTGAAACTCTGTTCTGAGAGTAGAGAGCCTTCACAGACCCTCGTCCTTGAGGCCAGGAAAGAAAAATGTTCCCAGATTATGGGGCTCGGGATGCTAGGAGTGCTAAGAAGAAAGGGTGTGGTGGTGTCTGAAGGGGGTTTCTGGACTGTGTTCCAGGGAAGGGTAGTACGTGTAACAGTGCTAAGAAGAAAGGGTATGGTGGTGTCTGAAGGGGATTTCTGGACTGTGTTCCCAGGAAGGGTAGTACGTGTAACAGGCCAGGGAATGTCTTTGGGCCTAGAAAGATGATTGGCTCTTGGGCAGAGGGATCCCACATTAGGGATTTCTGTGACAGTCCTGTGGAGATCCCAGGGTTGTGGAGGGTCCACACGCGTGACTGAGCACTGAGTCCAGGTGTCAGACTCAGCTGCCCCCAGGAGTGGGCTGGTTGGGAAAAGAGCCGAGGCACTAAATGTGGAGTAGGAAGGATGACCAGTAAGGGGGATGTGGTTGGGGAGTGGGGCTCCGGGTCCAAGATTCAGAAGAACAGCAATAGCTAAGATTGCTAGACTTTGCCTTTCCGTGTGTCGGCCTCAAACTGGCCCATTTTACAGGGGAGGTAAGTGAGGCCCTGAGCCAACGGCCCGTGCTCACCCAGCTAGAAAGTGTAGCAGGTAGGATTTGCACCCAGGTCTTCCAGACTGCCATTCGCTGTGCTGGTTCTCCTCCCCTCCTTGGCGTCCACAGCTTAGAGCAGGCAAGGAGGCTCCTGCACAAAGTCCCCATCTCCACTCTGTGGCGCTTAGTTTTTGTTTAAAGGATGTAATAGATTCAGCGCATGACTTTCAAGGCTGTCCGGTTTCTTTGCCTTGCCTCGCTGCCTTCCTTCTACACATCGAGAAAACGCTTCAATGGCGCTCTTTCCTTTTTCTTTCTTTTTTTTTGACAATTCTGCCACTCTCCGCTGTTCCCCCCATAAATCCCTCCCCCCACTCAGAGGAACAGAGCCCCGTACCGGGTGGACGTGCTCAAGAACGGGATCCGGTCTGGGCTGTACCTGAAGAACTGTGTCCTGTTCGGCATGTTCTCGTGTCCACTGCCTCGCTCTCGGCTCCCTGAGGTTTGTGTGAGGCAGAGTGAGGGTTTGGTGTCAATGATGGCCTTGACCAAGAGTCTCAGAGATCCAAGAAGTGTGTCGTTAGGACGTTCCGGGGGCCATCGGCAGGGATGCTGGCGTGCATGAGGATGACAGGGTGGGCAGAGGCAGCCAGGAGCCAGGCACAGGGCTGCTGAGGCTGTGGCTGGTGAGCAGGGGTCTGACAAGGGCAGGATGGGATGATTCAAGGGGGGGTAGTTCAGATGGAGGACCCTGATTAAAAATGAGAGGAGCTGGAGACTGGGAAATTGCCCCATGCCCTGGTTGGGGGGGCTGAGCACCAAGGGGCTAATCTTCCTGATCTCCCTGAGAAGCCAGGGCAGAGGAGAAGGCGGGGCCTTCTCCAGAATCAGCATCCGCAGCTAGGGGCAGGGGAGTCTAGGGAGAGGTTATGGAGAGCTTTAACGTTCAGAAAACACCATCCAGCCGCTCTGCGAAGGGGGTGCTATAATTACCCTTACTTCCAAGACTGAGGCCCAGAGCGTACGGGACTTGGTCACCCGGCTAATGGGCAGGGGAAGGTAGGATTGGAACCCAAGATTTTCTGATACCAAGTTCCTGCCTCCTCTCCACTGCACCCCCTCTGCCTTGTGAAGGTGCAGAGATGTAGGGAAGAGGTAAGAAAAAGATTCAGCAAAAAGGGAAGTCTGCCCAACAAGGATGAGGTTTTCTCTAGGCCACATTGAAAGGGGTGGGGGGATAGGGAGGAAGCTTAGGCCCTGAGATGTGAGGAGTGTGGGGGCGCACGGTGGTACAGGTGAGTGACCACGGCGGACTGTGGTCCTCCGCTAGGCTATATTAAACGTGACTGTGCCCAAAAATCCTTGCCAGGTTTTCTCCTGACCTTGGTTCCCTCCCACAGCAGGGAATCAGGCCCATGAGAGGTCCCCAGGCTGTCTGGCCACTCCAGGGGGGTCCTTCACATCTCTAGTCCAGCCTTAGGCTTCTCCCGCTGCATCCCTCTGAGGAAGGAGCTCCCTCCAAAGCCAGCACTGCCCCCTTCATGGACAACAGCCTTTTCTCAGTCCTCATCCTCAGTGACCTGCCTGCACGGTCCCCCAAATCTTGCTCAGTTCTGTCACTGTTGCCCTCATGTTACCCTCCATAGTCTACTCACACAGCTTCTGCCCTAGAACAGACCCTCATCACTTCCCATCTAGACTGTTGCAGCCTCCTGTCTGGGCTCCCAGACTCCAGCCTCCCCATGGCTGCCAAAGGGATTTCCTAGATGTGGTCCCCCCAACACCCACACAGGCACTAGAGGAATTCCAGTGGCTCCCTGTTCCTTCCAGGGTCAGACCTTAAGCCCTCCACTTGACATTTAAAGCTATTCAAAAGCCAGTCCCATCTCATCTTTCCAGTCCCCTCTCCTCTCCTTTCTCTCTCCTGTTCTCTCTCTCTCTGTCTCTCTCTTTCCCCCCTCCCTCCTCCCCATCTCCCCCTTCACAGTCCTTTTCAATGCTTTAATTTACTCTTTGTGCCCTCTTAATGTGGACATGCCCCTAGGTTTTCTCCTTTAAATTGTTTTCAATCAATTCATCTTTGTAAATCTCTTACCTGGTGAGCTCATCCACTCCCATGGATTTGATTTTTCTCTTTATTTTGATGACTACCAGTTCTACAAACCCAGATTTGAAGAACTCCAAATTCTTCAAATGTCAGTCTCTCCCCTGAGTTCATTTCCCTGTTCATTTCCAACCAACACTTCCAGTTTGACTTGTCCAGAACTGAACTTACAATTTTTGCCCTTAAACTTTCCCCTCCTGGTTTCTCATTCTCTTGATGGCACCCCACCCTCCCGATTGGGAGAGTCTGAAGTCACAGAGTATCGTGCACTCTCCTTCCTCCCACCTTCCACATCCTTTTAATGCTCTCTCCATATCATCTCCCAAATCCATCTCCTCCTCTCCATATACATCTTGCCATCATCTTAGTTCAGGCCCATTTCATCTCCAGCTTGAACTATGGCAACAGATTCCATATTGGCCTCCCCCTATTCCTTCCTTCAACTACTAAATTCACCTTTTTTAAAATTCTAAACCTAACATCTTCAAAAATTAGTATTTCCATACACCCAAAAAGAAAATTACATATGAAAACATGGATATCCATTATATGCCACTGGTCTTATAATGAATTCCACTTGTTACTTTCAAAACTGTCCTGCTTGTCTGTGCTCCTTTCTGAACTTCCTTCAGTCTCTTTTATGCGTTTTAAAGGGTTTTTTTAGTTGAGGGGGGAGGTGCCATCATTATTAGTGTTCCTCCTTCACACCCCAAACCCACTCCGGGGGGAAAATATTTCCTAAGAAATAAGCATAGTCAAATTTCCAAAAATGTATGACCTGAACCTTAAGTCTATCATCCCCTCTCCCTCAGGAGATGGGTAACGTGCTCCGTGATGGGTTCTGCAGAGACACCCCTGGTTATTACGTTGGTTGAAGTTCTCAGGTCTTTCCAAGGTGTTTTTCTTGGTAATGTTGGCCTCCTGTGAATTGTTCTCCTGGCTCTGGTCACTTCTGTCTGTATCACATACTGCCCAGGATTCTCTGCGATCATCTCTTTCATCATTTCTTATTATAGCGCACTAATATTATGGTACATTTGTAGATTGCAATCTGGGCCTCCTCCTTAAACTCTAATCCTTTTCTTTCCTTCTTAAAAAGTACTAAATAAATGCTAAATCCTCCCCCTCCCCCCTTTCCAAATTAGGAAATTTGTTGAGCCTCGGACCTATCTCATGCTGCTTACCTTCATCCCATCCCCATCTGTTTCCCCGTCAATCAGTAAACATAAAAATAAAGTGCCTGCTATGAGCCAGGCACTGTGCTAAGCACTGGGGATGCAAAAAAGAGGCAAAGGACAGTCCCTGTACTCAAGGACCTCACACCTTAATGGAGGAGACAGCAAGCAAAAATTATGTACAATCGATAGCTAGAAAAAATAGGAAATGGTTAACAGAGGCAAGGCACTGGAATTAAGGGGAAGGCTTCCTGTAGAAGGTGGGGTTTTAGTTGGGACTTGAAGGAAGGGTCAGGAGTCAGAGCAGAGGTGGGAGAGCATTCCAGGCCTGGGGGATAGCCAGAAAAAATGCCCAGAGCCAAGAGAAGGGGGGTTACAAGAGAAGCCAGGTCACTAGATCAAAGAGTAAGTGTGGGGGAGTAAGGTATAATGAGTCTGGGAAGGTAGGAGATGGCAGGTGATGAAGGGCTTTGAATGCCAAACAGAGCACTTTGTATATGCTCTTGAAGGCAGTAGGGAAACCCCACTGGAGTTTATTGAGCAGGATGGTGATGTGGTTGGACCTGCCCTTTCAGGAAAATCACATTAGTAGCTGAATGCAGGATGGATTGGAATGGGGAGTGGACCTGAGGCAGACAGACCCCACCCCCAGCAGCGATTGCAGCAGTCAGGGCATGAGGTGATGAGGTTCTGGACCAGAGTGGGAGCAGTGTCAGAGGAGAGAAGGGGGCATAGTGGGGAGATGCCACAAAGGTGAAATCAACAGGCCTTGGCAATGGCTTGGATATGGGGGTTGAGAGGTAGTGAGGAGTTGAGGATGACTCCTACGTTGAGAACCTGGAGGACTGGGAGGATAGTGGTGCCTCAACAGTAACAAGGAAGGTAGGAGGGAAGGAGGGTTTGGGGGAAAGATCATGAGATCTGTCTTGGAGAGCATGAGTTTCAGATGTCTACTGGACATCCACATCAAGATGTCTGAAAGTCAGTTGGAGATGCAAGATGGGGGTCAGCAGAGAATTTGGGGCAAGGAAGGTAGATTTGAGAATTGTCAGCATAGAGACAGATGGTCACTAAATCCATGGGAGCTGATGAGATCCCCAAGTGAAGTCGTGTGGAGGGAGAAGAGAAGAGGGCCCAGGACAGAACCCTGAGGGACACCTTGGTTACAGGGTACATGACCTGTGTGAAGATCCAGCAGAGGAAACAGAGAGGTTGCTGTCAGAGAGGTAAGAGGAGAGCCAGGAGAGAGTGGAGGCCACTCATCCCTTCCCCATTTGTTCCCCCGTTGAATTGGATGTACTGTATTTCTCCATCAAAGTGTTCGTGTGTGTTCAACCCTCCTTTGTCCCTTTCAGATAAGAACGCTCCCCTACCTCTCACTCTGTGTTCCGTACTCTTCTTCTTACCCACCCAGATTATACGGCAAGTTCCACCCTCTCCTTCCTCCTTTCTACGTTAGCATATTCCTTCCACCCTCCCTCCTCTTTCCTCTCTTAAAACCCTCAGAACAGAACCAATCGACTCCCAGATCTTGTTTTCTCCTATTTCGCTTCCTCCGTACTCTGAAGGGACACTTATTTCCTCTCCCTCTATTAGAATGTTAGTGCTACATTATCATCCACGTTGTTCATACAAATTTACCTTTCTCTTGATTGTTTGCAGCCGAAAAGACCCATTCATCTCTTGGCCTTTCATCAGGAATGTTTGAAAATTCTCTGTTTCATTAAAGATCCATTTTCCCCCCTATAGTATTATACTCAGCTTTGCAAGGCAATCTACTCTTGGTTCTAAGGCTCTGTCTTTTGCCTTTTGAAATATTATATGCCAACATCGTTGGTAGTTTATAATAGAATCCATCAATGGATTCTTCCTATCTTCACTTTGCACTTGGATTTCAATAGACCTGAACAGCTTTTATTTATGAGTTCTTGAAATATAATGTCCACGCTTTTTTTTTAATCATAGTTTTCAAGGAGTCCAGTGATTCTTAAATTCTCTCTGCCTGACTCATTTTCCAGGTCAGTTGTTTTTGACATCAGATATCTTTACGTTTTCTTCTATTTCTCCAGTCTTTTGGTTTTATTCTAATGTTTCTTGCTGTCTCGTGGAGTCATTAATTTCTGTTTGATCTACTCTGGTTTTCAAGAATTCCATTTCTTGAGTAAGAACTATCCTAATAGCTCATTCTAAACTATTCTAATTCTCTCTTCCAAGATTTTTATTTCATTTTTTTTGCCTTTTGCTTTATTTCTTCCAAGTATTTACGTAGTCCTTATGGGAAATCTATTTTTATTTCCTTTGAGTCCCTTCTTACAGTTACTTTCTCCTAAGCTAGATTTCTGGGCATCTTTGATTTTTTAAAGAATTTTTTCTACTTACTGGTATCACATTGGGTTTATTCATCTCTCTAACTTTGGTTCCTGAATTGGGTCTTTGTGCCTGGGCCAGGCCCCACCCCTTGCAGTACCTTTTGAATGGAGTTGTTGTCTGTAGGAGACCTCAGCCTAGAATACCTGGGTGCTTAAACTGACCTCTACCTCCTGGGGTATGGTGCCCCTGCATCTTTGAGGTTTAAAGCACTCAGTCCTCCGGGGCCTTTGGGGTGTCTCCGGACGGAGCACCCCAATCACACGGGCTGTCCGTGACACTCCCTAGGGCTGCCAAGGAAACCTAACCACTCGCAGGCTCTTGGGAGGAGCCTTGCTGCCTGCAGACACAGACTCGAAGACTGCCCATTTCTCTGGCCAGTCTCCGGCCTGTGGGAGACTGCAGATGTGCTTGCTTACCTTGGCCCTGGCTTTGTTGGCAGACTCCTTTCCAACTGCCCGTGGGATTCTGCATGACTTTTTGTGCAATTCTGGGGCGGACGTGGCTACATTTGCTCGAGTTTCTCATTATTATTCTAGTTTCTTGGTTATTATTCGATTTGGAGTGAATTTTAGATTTTTGCAGAAGCGGGTGTTTGGGAACTGAGGATCTGCTTCCATTCAGGCAGCAATCTTGGCTGGCCATCTTCATCTTCCTGATGCCAGTTTTCCAGAACTCATACTTTTGTGCAGACTGTCTCCCACGTCTGGAAAGAACTCTGTTTATCTCTGCCCTTTGAAATCCTGTCCCTTTCAGGTCTGTGTTGACTGCTCCCTTCTCTGGGAAACATTTCCTGATTCTGTCTGGACTCCCCCTTTGCCAGTGAGCCCCCAGTAGACTGTTAGCTTCTCAAAGGCCGAGATTATATCATTTTTTTGAGCTTATATCATTTTTCAGTGTTGCCATCTTGTACCATTGAGGCACACTGAGCACCCAGTTCACCAAAATACCAAATCCTTTTCATAGCTCCTGTTAATTAACCATTTTTGCTTTTGTTGTTGTTTAATCATTTCCATCGTGTCCAACTCTTGGTGGCCCTTTCTGGGGTTTTCTTAAGCAAAGATGCTGGAGTGGTTTGCCATTTCCTTCTCCAGCTCATTTTATAAATGAGGAAACTGAGGCAAACAGGGTTCAGTGACTTGCCTAGGGTCTCACCTAGCTCGTAAGTGTTTGAGGCCGGATTTGAACTCAGGTGTTCCTAACTTCAGGCCCTGTACTCTATCCACTGCACCACCTAACTGCCCATTGCTTCTCTTCTACTTAGGAAGTGGATTTTTAAAAACCCAAGCCTGAGACTTGACATTTCTCCCTGTTAGTCACAGTGTGTATCGTTCCTTTGGCTCTGCTTTCTTTCTTTCTGAATCACTTCATACATGTCTTCCCGTGTATCTGTGGGGTCTTCATAGTCATCCTTCTTTGTGGTACAGGAATCAAAGAAGGAGCCTAAAGGCCCATTTAATCCAATCGCCCCCCATTTTACAGTTAAGGAAACTGAGGCTCAGCAGGTTTTGATAACTGCCCAAGGTCACACCAGTAGTAGGATTTGAGCCCAGGTCCGCTCCCGCTGGAGTCAGTGCCCTTTCCACCACACCACAGCCTCCCTATGTTTTATTATACTCATCCCACAGTTTGGGCCACCATTCCCCCATTGGGCTTGTAGTGTGTTTGCTGTGAATAATTTTGTGCAGATTGGTGTTTTCTTGCTATCAATAGCTTCCTTGGGGTTTCAGCCTTGTCATAGGGCATGAATAGTTTTGACATTTTTCTTGCATAACCCCTAATTGCTTTCCAGAGTGGTCAGGCTCGCTGGGTTGCGACTTCGCCGAGGTGAATTAGCACACTTGCTCCTATGCTTTTCCTCCCCGCTGAATAGACGTCTGTCTTGTCGGCCTCGTCCCGTCCTAGCTATGGCTGTGGAGCAGGTGGGAGGTCGCTTCGTCCCCGACAGTGAAGGCGGCAGGGAGGGGGAGGGTGGGCAGCATAAGCAGGAATGTCTTTGGTATTTCAGGAATCAATGGCATTCCAGGATGTGGCTGTGGACTTCACCCAGGAGGAGTGGGGGTACCTAGACCCTGCTCAGAGGGACCTTTACAGGGAGGTGATGCTGGAGAATTACAGGAACCTGGTCTTCTTGGGTAAGGATAGCTTTCCTCCGGGTTGCAGAACCCCTCAGTCTGCCAGGGTATCCGCTTTGAGTGTTGAGACTCCTGGGGCCTGTTGAGAGTCCAGCCAGGTTTGGTCTGAGGGTTTGGGGAATAGACACTCCTAACCCTGCCACAGCCTGAGAGGGGGGGTTTCTGCTTCCCATTGCTGGGAGGATGGTTGGAAGTGCCTGCTTTACTGGGCTTCATCCTTCTCTGCTCCCTGTGCCAGGGGGCAGGCAGGGCCTCATCCTGTGTGGACGTGGGGTCTTGTTCTTTTCCTCCCACCATTCTTCTGGGCCTCTATCAATCCCCGGGGGGGCACACTCAGATCCCTCAGAGCTTTCTTAGGCTCCTTCAGGCTTTCTGCCTCGTCCTTTGACTCCTGAAAACTAGGCTGGGCCGATGAACTCTGGGATTGCTCTAGTTTGGGTCAGCACAGATGGGAGCTGCCCTCCTGGTGGCTGTTAGGCCAGACGCCCTTCTCATACCTTCCCAGGGTTTTTCAAAACTGGTCCCCGGAAGCCGTGGAAGCACATTTTCTGATGTAGAAGGGGCCACGGCTTCTCAGCCAACCTTCCCACTCAAAGGCGGGTGCACATAGTAGGGCCCTTGCTAGGCTTGCTGTTCCTCCATCTCAGCTGGAGGCTTTTAGACTCCGCCTGTCAGGATGTCAGGGAGGGGAAGCTTCCTCTGCTTCCCTCTGACTCATCCCACTGGCAGGGTTTTAGCCAGGGGCCTTTCCTCATCCCCTAGCTTTGGCCTGGGGCTCCCGTCACTCACCAAGCAGTGATTCTGAGGGCCTCCATGCCTACTATTGTCTAGCTGCTTTCACCTCTCTAGATCAGGCTTCCCTCCCAGCAGCCAGGACTGACCTCTTCCTTATCTCTTTCTTAATTGGGAGAAAACACAGTCACCTATTCTTCTAGGAGGACAGCTACTCCACTTCTGTGCCTCCCTACAGGACCTGGGCACTGCCCTCCAAGCTGGGAGGTCCCTTCTTAACAACACATCCCCCGGGTCCCTGACCTCCCCTCCCAGGCCCTAGCATTCAGGTTTTGAGAGGTAACATCTTAGCGACTTTTTATACCCCCTTCTGCTATTAATGTCCTTCTTTCTTACCCCTACCCCTCCATCTTCCCCCTAGAAATAGATTCCTTTCTCCAAAAGGGAGGGCCGTCTTCTCTTGCTGAGGACAGACCCTCCCTCTTGTAGTAACCCTTTCTGTACGGATTTCTCTCTCTCATTTCCCCCATCTCCAGAGGGCTTCTGCTTCCTCAAAGGAGGTGAGTTGGTCCTTTCCCGGCTGATTAAGTGAACCGCTTCCACACGTTCACATGGCCTATCGGTGCCCGGCCTGTGCTAGAGCCTTCTGAGCTCGTGTTGGTTTGATCAGACACAGCCGGACACACTGTGTCCGACTCCAGCGTGGACCGTAGTGTGCGTAGCATATATGATTCTAGCACAGTGATGCCATTTTGGTCCTCTTCAGAAACAAAGGACAACGGCCAGGTGAACTAATTCATTTCCTGACCAGATGTTCACTGCCAGTGAAGGTTTTCTCCCCTAAGAAGGCGTTCTCTTGCAGGGATGCCCGTAGGTCAGACCAGAGAGGACACCCCCTTTTTTCTTCACCATGGAAGCTCCCGAGATGTTAGGGAACCCTTGAGGATGGGGTTGTTTTTGAGGGCTCCCTTACACGTGGACACCTCTCTACGTAGGCCTCCACCTGCCCCTGGCCCGTCCTCCTTCCCTCTCCCAGAGATGTCCTCTACCAAGCGCCACTAAAGCTGGTGAGTGGTATAAGTGTCAATCCTCTGTCCCCTTATCAGGGCGGGGCAGTGGAAAGTATCACATCTGGAGTCAGGACCTGAGTGGGAATCATCTCCCCCTTGCTTCCTGTGCCATTATGGGCAAATCCTGCCAACTTTCTGGGTCTCTGTTTCTTCGTCTGTAAAATGAGAGGGTTGGATGAGATAACTTCTAAGGTCCTTTCTGCCTCTCACTCTGTGACGCCAAGATCCATGGGCATACCATTGGCTGAACCTCTCCTTTGGGCTCCCCCCTGTATTGGGCACAGGGTCCGGGCACCTTCCCTCCCCTGAGCCTCTGGTGTTCTTAACAGAGGGAGTTTAATGCTTCCTAAGCAGCACTGGAAGCCAAGGAAAGAAGAATCCTGCATTCCTGGGGGCCTGGCAGGAGGGGGAATAATCCTTCTAGTGTTATTTCCCCAAGATCTCTTTGCAAATATACCAAAGTCTCCCCCTCATCCTTAGCAAAAAAAAAATATATATATATAGGTCAAGAGCCCCTTTTGTTTTTGGCAACTGACCAGGTAGACTAGAGCTTGCATAAGAGTGTTGCTGCTGGTGGTCGCCATATGTCTGGTGCTAAAGAGTCTGCAAAGTGCTTGTGTGATGCAAACAGACATCTCACAGGCCGCAGTTAAATCCTGAGCCCCAGGAAAGCCAGGGCTCCCAGGGAGGAGAACCAAGCCCACCAAGGTCCAGACAACTCTGGCCCCAAAGGCCCGCCGACAAGCCCCTTTGGGCAACCCTTACTCAGGTGTGATTTATGCCACACCTGTCTCCAAAAACAATTTGCTGCGGCCAGTTATCTTTAAACTTGCATTTAAAACAAAATGAATGAAAAAAAATATTGAGAGCTTACTGCGTACCAGGGAAAGAAGCAGTTTTTATAGGGAGAGACTTGGGCAAATAAGTAGGGGCCTATTACTCACCTCAGCGCTAAGGTCAGCATGCCCCTCAACATAGAGGAAGGGTCTCCTCCCCTCCCTCAGGGACCCTGCCGCTCCTTCTCTTCTTTATCAAAGAATCTCTTCTGGAAAAAAAAAAAAAGCCTTCATCCTGAGGCGGGATGGCCCATAGCTCATTTGAAGAAGTCTAGGTGCAGTGTCCCGAGGGGTCTTGGTGCTCCCCATACTCCCAAGGCATAATCACCTCCTGCATATTGATCAGTGATAGAATCTCACTCTTAGGGGGGAATAAAATCCAGGTTCATTTTTCGACTAATACATTTCATTTTTTTCCGTGGGAGATTTCTCCCCCCGTACTAAAAGCAAGATCATATTTCTATGGGGAGAGGCAGAAAGGTCACCCCTAGTCTCTTGATAGCCAGTGGGTCAGACATGAGCCTGTACTCCTTCTCGCCAGCCCGCAGTGGCATCTCTTTTCCTTGTTACAAGGAAGCTGGTCTTCTTTTCCTCTTCAGAAGACAGAGGCCACAACCTCAGGTACCTGTTTATCAAAGCATCACCTTTCTCCGATGTGGCCTTGTGTAGTCTGCGGTTCATTCTCCAGCCTTCCATCATGCTCTGTTATTTGGCACTAGCCTTGGACTGAGAATCTCAGCTCTTTTGGTCTTAACCAAGCTGCCCGCTGCCCAGTGGTCCGGCTTCTTGAGCCCCTGTTGTATTTAATTGCCAGACACTTTGGGTGAATTTGTTATTCTATAGATGTGTCCTTCCTTCTGCTGCTGAGTTCAAAGCCAGGGACCCTTCCAACCACTTGTTCACCTAATCCTCAAGGGGGTTACAAGACCCAGAGAAGTCCAGGAGGAATAGCGTTTGGCCATTTACATACCCTGTCACTTACTGTGGATGCCCAGATGGACAAAATCCTGTAAGACCTCTGCAGTAGAACAGGAGCATTGTTTACATCCGTAGCTGCCAGAAATGTCAAAGATTTTTTGAAACACGCTTACTGGTAAATAATTGGACTACCTTTTCCTGTGAGCAGGACTTGTAGTTTCCAAACCAGATGTCATCTGCCATTTGGAACAGAGGAAAGAACTGTGGAACCTAGAGGGTGTTGACAAGAGAAGAGTCCCAAGAGATCCCTGTCCAGGTGAGTGAATGTAGCCAGGAAGGAAAGTAGCTACGAGAAGAGCAGTTGGTCAGTTAGGGCCAGTGGCAGCTTGGAAATGCTAATCAGGGACCTCTTCTCAAAATGTCAGAGTCTACCCTTATCTTTGGCCCTTCACAGACACTTCAGGTATCTGGTTAACCTGCTTGTCATTTTTTTAAAAATATCTTGCATTTTGCCTCACCTTTGTTTCTGAATATATCCTTTGCCCGTTTACTGTCTTCTTAATGGGATGCCTACCAGTAGTCCCAGAGTTGTGGTTTCCTGACAATTAGGATTATCCAGAAGATGAGATGGCTGCAAGAGGGAGGGTGGGGTTCCCAGCATCGGCATTTCAAGGGGTGCCTGGTGGCAGCATTAGAAGTCATCAGAGCTCATATCTTGGACCCTTCATAACCGGTCAGATTGGCCTGCTTCTCAGTACCAGCTGTGGGCCCTGTGAGATTGGCCCCTCAGGCCCTGCCACCATCATGAACCACAGCAAAGGTATCTGGCCTGGGGCAGAGTGCTTAATGTCTGAGTCCATAGTTGGCTTGTCCCTTGAATGAATGGATGGACAGGCCTTTAAGCCCTTACTGCCAGGTACCATGCTAAACGCTAAGGATGCAAATACAAAAAATAAAATAATAATAATAATAATAATAATAAAAACCAAAACCACCCCTGCTTTTCAGGGAGGACAGCATGTATAAGGAATGGTGGCCAACCAGGGTTGTTTCCACTGGGGATGTCACAGGGCCAGTGAGGGGAGTCAGTTGGTATCCTTTCCAGTATCGCTAGGATTGGTTTGATTCTTGTTCCCAGAGTTAGAGATGGGTAACGAGGTGGGAGCATGGTGTGAAGATGGCAGGCAGTTCTCTGTTGGACTAATTACGGTGAATGCCCACCAGGCAGAAGCTGGGGTGGAGCAGAGGAGGTCTGCTGGCCCCAGCCCTCCCAGTCTTTAGGCAAAGGCTGAACAATGACTTGTCAGGGGTGGGGTATGAGTTGGACCAGACAGTCCCCTTCCAGCCATGGAAATTCTGTGATTCTTTGTGGGATCTTATTAAATACATGTCCCCTGATTCTTGCTTGGTATCTTAACTCCCCTGCTCCTGAGGTGCTGCTCAGCCAGGGAAGGGTGGGCACCACTGCTCTCACTCACCCCAAGAGATTCCACATGCCTTTGCTCTCAGTTCAGTGTGTAGAGGCCCCAGCATCGGCTTCCCTAGGCTGACCAGTGATACAGAGTGGCCCAGTCCTCTCGGTCTCCTAGACGTGAGGCCCACAAACTACAGCCTAGGGGCCCAATGCAGAGGCCTGGCCACTTGATTTTGTACAACCAGAGAGCTAAGAATGTTTCTAAACATGTTACAGTTGGATTTTAAAATATAAAGTCCCTTCTTAGCTCACAGGCCATACAAAATCAGGTGGCCAGCCAGATTTGGCCCACTCCTGCACTGGAGTAGAACATTTTTCCTTATAGAATCACAAAATGTCAGCATTGGAAAGGAAATCTGAAGCCATCTAATACGCACAATACCTAAAGAGAGGCCGCCACACATACCCACACTCCATATCTGGCCAGTTTATCTAGCCTTTGCTTGACTGACCCAAGTGAGGGGAACCCCACCACTTCCTGGGCAGCCCATAAACTCCTTTGGGGCAAAGACCATGTTGACTTTTTTTAAATGTCTTGCCCTGCAGGCAATAGCAACTTAATAGATTAAGAGTCATTCTGGTGCCATGTGAGTCCGTGGTTTGTGGAGAATGACAAGGTGGCAAATCAGAAAAAGGAGAGCGCTACTCTAACTCACTATTGATTGGAGAAATGCAAATTGAAATAATTCTGAGATACTACCTCATACCTATTAGATTGGCTAGTAGGACAGAAAAGGTAAATGACAAATGTTGGAGGGGATGTGGGGAAAATGAGTCATTAATGCACTGTTGGTGGAGTTGTGAACTGATTCAGCTATTCTGGAGAGTAATTTGGAACTATGGCCAAAGGGCTATAAAACCACGCATACCCTTTGACCTAGCAATACCACTGCTAGGTCTGTATCCCAACGAGATAAAAATCAAAAAGGAAAAGGACCTATATGTACAAAAATATTTATAGCAGCTCTTTTCTGGGAGTAAAGAGTTAGTAACTGAGGGGATGCCCATCAGTTGGGAAATGGCTGAACAAGTTGTGGTATGTGGTTATGATGGAATATTATTGTACTATAAAAAATGATGAGCAGCGGGGCAGCTAGGTGGCGCAGTGTATAGAGCACTGACCCTGGAGTCAGGAGGACCTGAGTTCAAATCCAACCTCAGACACTTACTAGCTAGCTGTGTGACCCTGGGCAAGTCACTTAATCCCCATTGCCTCCAAAATAAATAAAGAAATGATGAGCAGGATGCTCTCAGAAAAACCTGGAAAGACTTGCATGGGCTGATGCAAAGTGAAAAGTACTGTGCTCAAAGTGTAAGATGATCAGCTGTGAATGACTTAGCCAGGGGTGGGGAACCTTTGGGACTTGAGGCCACATGTGGTCCTCAAGTGTGGCCCTTTGACTGAATCCAAACTTCACAGAACAAATCCCCCTAATAAAAGTATTTATTAGCTCTTCTCAGCAATCCAAAGATCCAAGACAGCTCTGAAGGACTTATGATGAAAAATGCTATCCATCCCCAGAGAAAAACTGATGGTGTCTGAATACAGACTGAAGCATACTTTTGTTTTAACTTTATTTTTCTTGAGGTTTTTTTTTCTTATCTATGTTTTCTTTCACAACATGACTATTAATAGATATGTTTTGCATGACTGTACATATATAACCTGCATCAAATTGCTTGCCTTCTCAATGAGGGGAGGTGGGGAGGGAAGAAGAGAGAGAATTTGGAACTCAAAGTTTCAAAAATGAATGTTAAAAATTGTTTTTACATGTAATTGGGGAAAATAAAATACTGGATAAAAGCTTAGAAAAAAAGAAAGAAAAAGAGAGCCCAAAAAATGTGTAGAAGTGGGCAATGTGGGCAGAATAGCAACTAGAGAGTAGCCAGAGTGCGGAAAAACCCAGGTACTGAAGGCATGGCAGGAGGGCAGAAACAAGACCTCGAAACTAAGGAAGCCCCTGCCTTGTACAGAAAGCCCTGTTGGGTAGGGGCAGTTAGGTGGTACAGTGGTTAGATCACTGGTGCTGGAGTCAGGAGGACCTGAGTTCAAATCCAGCCTCAGACCAAACACTTAAGACTTACTAACTCTATGACCCTGGACAAGTAACTTAACCCCAATTGCCTAAAAAAAAAAAAAAGAAAAGAAAGCCCTGTTGGGGCAGGAGGCAATCCCAGAGTGAGGCCAGATGGGGAAAGGAGGCAGTGTGTGTGTTAACTTAATGGAGTAGAGAGTCCAGGAAGGAGAAGTATGTGCCGATGCTGACCTTGGTCTATATGTTCCCTCAGCTTTCCCACCTCCTTCCTCTCTTGAAAGAGCCAACAATCATTCTCTTTTTTTCCTAAGAGTAATTTCTTTTAATTATTTTTTCTATTTTTTAAAGTATAGTTTTATTTATTTCATTAAATATTTCCCGATTACATGTAAAAAATTTTTAATTCATTTTTTAAAATCTTGAGTTCCAAATTCTCTTCCTCCCTCCCTCCCCTTCCCTACTCTTTAAGAAAATAAGCAATATATCGATTATACATTTGAAGTCATGTAAAATATATTTCAATATTAACCATCTAACAATCTTTCTTTAGGCTTATCTCATATACTATATTGGTTCCCTCTACACTTCTGTCCCCTGCTCATTTTTCCTCTTTTGTGCCCTAGTTTTTCCAAGGTTGCCTAATTGCACTGAATGGATTTCAGAGGTGTGAAAAACATACTTCCCCCAGGCATTATTTTCAGTTTTGTTATCCCCTTTCACTGTAGTAGTTTCTTTTCTTTTAGCACAATGAATAAAGTATATATGGTTTTCTTTTTTTTTTTTTTTCCCATTCCTTTCAGGCTCAGAGACCAGGCCTGAGGCCAAGGCATCAACTCCAAAGCAGAGAGTTTCTCAAGAAAGCTCTTTCCAGGGGCTGGTAATGGAAAGACTCTCAAGGAATAGTCCCTTGTACTCAAAGTTTAGGGGACAAAAAGCCAGAGAAAGTGAGGGCAGTTTAAACATAAGGCAGGGAAGTCAAGGAAAACCCTATGAATGCAGTGAATGTGGGAAAGGATTTATTTACTGCTCTGAGCTCATTCGACACTGGAGAATTCATACAGGAGAGAAACCTTATAAATGCAACGAATGTGAGAAAACCTTCAGATACTGCTCGTCCCTCACTCAGCACCAGAAAATTCATATTTTAGAGAAACCCTTTGAATGTAGTAAATGTGGGAAAGCCTTTAGTGATAACTCAACCCTCCTTCGACATCAGAAAATTCATAATGTGGAGAAGACGTACAAATGTAATGAATGCGGGAAGTCCTTCAGCTACTGCTCAGCCTTGATCCGACATCAAAGAATTCATACTGGAGAGAAGCCCTATGAATGCAGCGAATGTGGGAAGACCTTTGGGTACTGCTCATCCCTAATTCAGCATCACAGAATCCATACTATTGAAAAACCCTATAAATGTGATGATTGTGGAAAAGCCTTTACCGATAGCTCAAACCTTCTCCGACATCAGAGAGTTCATAATGTGGAGAAACCTTACAAATGCAATGAGTGTGGGAAGTCCTTCAGTTACTGTTCAGTCTTTATTCGACATCAAAGGATTCACACCGGAGAGAAGCCTTATGAATGTAATGAATGTGGGAAATCCTTTAGCCACAGCACGTGCCTTACCCAACATCAGAGAACTCACACAGGAGAGAAACCTTACGAATGCAGTGAATGTGGGAAAGCCTTCAGCCAGAACTCATCCCTTTATTATCACCAAAGAGCTCATACTGGAGAGAAACCATACAAATGTAATGTATGTGGGAAAGCTTTCAGTTACAATGCCTCCCTCACCCAACATAAGCAAACGCATACTGGGGAGAAGCCCTATGAATGTAGCGAATGTGGAAAAACCTTTAGTCGAAGGACATACCTTACTGAGCATCAGAGGATTCATACTACAGAGAAACTCTTTGAATGCAGTGAATGTGGGAAGTCCTTCAGCCAGAACTCATCTCTTGCTGAACATCAAAGATTTCATACAGGAGAGAAACCCTATGAATGCAATGAATGCGGGAAAGCCTTCAGCCGGAGCACATTCCTTACTCGTCATCAGCAAACTCATAGTGGAGAGAAACCCTATGAGTGTAGTGAATGTGGGAAAGCCTTCAGCCAGAGACAGTCCCTTTATTACCATCAGAGAACTCACACTGGAGAGAAACCGTATGAATGCAATGAATGTGGGAAATCCTTCAGCCGGAGCACATTTCTTACTCAGCATCAGAGAATTCATACTGGCGAGAGACCATATGGTTGTGATGAATGTGGGAGTGCATTCAGTAGGCGTGCAGCCCTCACCAAGCACCAAAATCTTCACTGCAGAGGGTTTCTGCAGTGATCGTGGCCTGGGCTTCATATTGATTTAACATTTTGTTCATATTTACCAGTCAAGATGTCACAGAGTGGGACTCTGGGTCTGTGTAGCCATGGTGGCCTGTGTCCCGGGACCATCTGTGTCCAGTAGTGTGAGGGACTGTTTGATGTTGGCTACTGCCAAGTGGGGGTTGTGGCAAGATGGGGTAGGAACTGGGTATTAGGAAGTAACCGGAGCTCACACTCCCGAGGCAGGGGCTGTGCTAGGCGGAGTTGTGGTGAACTGGGATGGGCTGGATATGGAGAAGTAACCAGAGCTCACGTTCCTGAGGCAGTGGGCAGTGCTATGAAGCTGGGGAAGGAACAGAATACAAGGAAGTAGCCGGAGCACGTGCTCCTGAGGCAGGGGGCTGTGCCACGTGGGAGTGGGACGGCAGAGAATGAGTTCCTTTGTCTAGTCCCCTCCCTAAGTGCAACGTCAACCCCAGACACCTCCTTCCTGTGTCCTTCCTGACTTCCTGGGTCACGTACCTTCCCTTTGTGTAGCACTGACCCCAGACGCCTCCTCCCGGTATCTGGGCCTGACTTCCTAGGTCACGTACTCTCTCTTTGTCTATGCGCTAATCCCAGACGCCTCCTGCATCACTTCCTCTCCCTTGGTGGGCCAAACTCAGACATCCCCTTCTGGCATCTGACCCTACAATCATTGACTAGTAGGTGGGCTGAGGAGGAGGGGCTAAGTAGGTACTTAAGGAACGGGGTCGTGGTCGGAGCACGCTGTCTCTTTGCTCCTGCTGTCTTGCTATGGCCTTCCTGCTTGGCCTTGCTGTGATGGTCTCTGAATAAAGCTCGGGTGTTGGTACCTCCTGGTAGGCTCGTCTCTGTGTGTTTATCCGGGTAGGCTCCGAAGACTGGTAAGTAGTATGACTCTGGCAGCCTGCTCCTTATAGGAGGAGAGTGCACGGCGCGGCCGGCACACAGTAGCCTTTAAGCAGCAGGTCCAAGCCTGGGCCCTGCCCACCCCAGGTAGACAGCAAAGGAGGGCAGAGTCAGGGGGCCCCTGCCCCAGTACAATACAGGTTTCAGGTATAGTTCTACAGGTGGATTACCAGGATAGTGACTCACCCTTCTGATGCTGGACAATATCAAAGACTGTGTCTTCTACATCTCTGTGAAAAGATAGATCCACAAAAGAGTTCATCATCTCAGCTTGGAACGTTTGGACCAAATAGAAATTTCAATGGCCAAGCAAGGGGAATTTGGATTTGACACAGACCAAAAAAAAAAAAAATTAATGTGTCCACGGGAGGTTGCATTTCAGGCAAACAGGGTATATACCAATAAAGTTTTTGATTTTTTAAAGAAAAAATCAAGACTGAGGCAATGTTAGCAAATGATTAAATGTGAAAACATGCTATAAGATATGCCACTTTTGTTGGAGTATTTCTTTTGGAACTATATATTTAAATCATCTATATGTAGTCCTTTAAAAATAAATATCTAAAACCATTTTTTCATCCTTGATTCTGCAATGTTATTTTACATAACAAACTTCCTTTTTATAGAGATCCTCATTGTTAGAGGACATACATATCTGACACAGGTGGCTTTTTTGGAACTGAATATTTGAATCATTGGTTTTCAAACACATTTTGTTTTTCTTTTGTTTGTCCACGTCTCCTTGAATAAAGTACAGGTTTGGTGTTTTTGTTGGGGTTTTTTTTTAGTTTGTTTTGTTTTGTTGGTAAAGTGTACCAGCTGGGAGTTTGAGAAATAGACCTCTTTCCCTAACGTCCAAGTTTGAAAGGACTTTCAGATGCCATCTAGGCCCTCTTGAACCCCTCTCAAGAATCCCCTCTACAAATAGACCAAAAAATGCCCCCCCCCCCCCCCCCCAGCTTGAAGACCTCTAGTGAGAGAACCCACCCCCTCTGGAGGTGAGCCATTTTATTTGGGGATGCCTCTTATTTCAAGAATAGAGTCAGGGTTTCCACCTGTTACATCCAACCCTTCCAATAGAGGAAGACTTCTGTTATATGCCCTGTATATCTAAGCCAGGATGGCTTGGACGGGACACCCTCCAGCATCCTCATTTCGCTGCAATCCTGTCCTGTTTATCAGTGTCCTTTCCAGACCCAAGCCCCTGCGCTCACTCCGAGACGGCCGCCCAAAACGGGGTGCGCAGGGACCCACCCTTGCCTCCCCATCGGGGGCATCGGCGCTTCAGGGAGACCCCAGTGTGGGGTCTCAGGCACCAAGAACTGTAATCTTTACTGAAAGAAATAGCGATGCTCTTTCAGGCAACACGTGGATCAGCCGCTGCTCTCCTCTGTATCACTAGATTTTTTGTAGATTTCACAAAGGGATGCTGATAAAAAGATGGTTCAAGAACAAGTCACGAAGCATCTCCTCTTCAAGGACTACGGGGCGAGCGACTCCCGAACTACACTTCCCAGAATCCTTGTAGATGGGCACATCCGGGTTCCCCTAGTTTGTTCCCAGGGAATCCCGCTCTCCCTGGCCCTGCTAGGACCGCGGAGATCTCTGGGAAAACAAAAATGCGCTGGAGGATTCTGGGACTCGTAGTGCGTCGGTGACTCGCGCAGGCGCAGTGTCGCAGGGGGCAGGGCGGCGGTTGGATTGGGGTGGCGGTTGAGGTTGGGGTGGGGGCTAGGCTGTCCTCTTTGTCTGCTCTGATCGCCAGCGGCTGAAGTGACTTCGGCCTCGGGTGCCCGGCGGGGAGGGAGGTTTCTGCCCCTCCCCTCCTCTGGCCCACCTCACACTCTGACCCTGAACCCCATTCCTGTGGCCGCAGCCGGGCCTGGGGAGGGGGACGAGGAACTGCAACACCCCCTCCCCCATTCATCCCCCTTCTCCTCGTCACCCCCCTCCCCCAACGACCTTTTCCCTTTCCCTCATTCATCCTTCCCCTCCCCAGTTCATCCTTCCTTTCTCTTCCCTAATCCCCCCTCCCCCACTCTCCTCCCTCTCCCCAGTTCTTCCTCCCCCAGCCAATTTTGCCCTCCCCCATCTCTTCCTCCCTCCCCCTCCCCACCTCTCTGTCGCTCCCACCCCTCCAGTCTTCTCACCCACCCACTCAAGCTTCCTCCTCCAAGCACATATGGAAGCCGTGGTGTTTGTGTCTGAGTAGCCACTCGTCTGTCTTTACCTTACAGGTGTTTGCTGTGGAAGAGTGATTCTGAGGAAGAGGGCTGGGTTCAAGGAGCTGCCCAGGCGCCTTCTGATTGTGAGCGAGGGGCTCAGGCTGGAACAGTCGGTGCGTGTGTAATTTTTGGCACAGGCGTGGTCTGTGTTAGGTGAAGTCTTTCTGGTTAAACATGTGCACGTGTCTTTGTGTATGATGGCATAGTTCCTGGAACTCTGTGGATCTCCCAGGAGGTCATTGCCATCTACCTGGCACCCATCTGGGGGGCCCTTTGGATCATGCAGGGTTTCAGCAGGGTTCAGGAGTAGATCTGGACCGAGGCTGCTGGATCCTTCCAGCTGACATCTGATCTGAAGAGCCGAGGCCCTGCCGAGGAACCACGGTGGCTAGCTAGATAGACTGCCCAGCCCTGGGTTGGGTTATGGCCAACCCTCTGACCCTGCAGGTCCCAGCTCCCCCAGAACAAGTTGGGTTCTTGAGCCCAAAGGTGGAGGAAAATGACCCTGGGCCTCAGGGATTCCTCCAAGGAGGGGACCCAGCTGCCCCTGGGACCTCTTACCAGGGCTTCAAGACAAACCCCAGAGATCCACATGAAGGAGCAGAGAATGGATCAGAGCAGTCTTCGACCGTCTTATCTGGGATGATGGGGACCTGCCGGAGGCCACAGCGTCCAGAGCATAAGGATTGGACCCACATTCTTGAGAAGAAAGGTGAGACTGACAGAAGAATCAGGGAGGTGGGTGGGGGTTTGGGGATGCACGTGGGTGAGTAGACGGGGAGGGTTGGTCTTGGGAAGGTAAGGAGAGACCAGAGTGTTGGATTTGGGAAGACCCGGGTTCAGGTCCTGCCTCTAAAGTTCACTTAACCTTTCAGTATCCCACTCTCACCTCCCAGACTACTCTCCAAGACAGGAATCCTTAACCTTCTTTGTGTCCTAGACCCTTTTGGCCACAGTCTGGTGAAGCCTATGGACCTCTTCTCCAAATCAAGGTTTTAAATGCTTAAAGTGAAGTACATAGGATAACAGAGCAAACCAATTATGTTAAAATACAGTTATCAAGATGGTAAAAAAAAAAAAGGAGTTAAGGGCCCCAGACTAAGAGGCCAAGCTCTAAGACTGTAAATTACTGATGAGGTGAAGATCTCCTGCGTGCGGATGAAATCACCGTTCTGGACCGAAACAGAAAAGTGCCTCCCACCTTACCATGTAGTTTTGAGGCTCAAGTGAGATCGTGTATAAGAAGTGTTTTGCAAACTTTAAAAAGACCCCATTGGTGTGGATCATTATTGGAAAGAGTAGGGGAGCCTGGCCTCCTTGCAAATGGTCCTTCCGGAGCCACTGTGGGCAATAATGTACCCTCCCCCCAAAAAAAGCTTTGTTGGGGAGAACATTCTCCAATGTGATGACACCAGGGCAGTGCACAGAGCACTGGTCCCAGAGTCAAGAAGACCCAAGTTCAAATCCACAGTCAGATACTGACTTGCTAGGTGACCTTGAGCAAATCACTTAACCTCTGCCTCAGTTTCCTCCTCTGTAAAATGGAGGTAATCATAATGCCAACCTCCAGGGGTTGTTTCGAGTTTCTCATGGTCTTTGAATTTGACTTTTCACATATCTGTGGTCTTACTTGGTTCGTCTTGGAGTCCTCTGAGGCAAGCAAAGAAGATGTGGTTATCTCTACTTTACAAACAAGAAAACTGAGTAAATGTCATGAAGTTTCAATACCAGGACACATTGGAGACTGGAAAGGAACCTGGGGCTCCTCAGCTTCCTTGCCCCTTCTGTTCCAAGGCCTCCCTCATAAT